AATTGTTTGACGAACAATTTCCTTAACATGTACAATAATCTATGTATATTATTTCCTTAGGATTAGTATTTGATTCCTTTTAGGATTAGAGTTTATTTCATCATAGGTATATTTCTTTCTTATAAATAGGGCTATGTACTCATCTTTTTTTTATATGGCTTGAATTAATGAAAAATTGATCATTGGTCACTAATCTCTTGTGTTAGAATTCTTCCTTGTGTCGAAAAGGGCGTTTCACCGCATAGTTCGTAATAAGCTCGAGTTTGGCAAGGATTCACGTCCGAGTTGTTTCATCTATCGCCGAGAACGAGGTGTTTCACATCCTTTCAAGCAATCTATCGCCGAGAAGGAAGTCGTGGCAAGGAACTTTCAAAGTAATCCAAGTATTGAGATATAAGATCCTCATCACGTCATCCTCGCGCACTGCCCAGCGGACAGGCAAGACCCTACGTGCCCCAACAACGTTCTCGCGCGACCCACGAGTCCCGCGGTACTAGTCTCGGCATCCCAGTGTCTCAGTCCCCGACCTAGGTCTGTTCGTGAAAGTACGACTGGTTATGCGAATGCCTTCATACTTTTAACTTTCGCACAATGCCATCGCATAATTGTCGCATATTCATCGCATATTGTCTCGCACTTTCTAGAATGAAAAAGTTAACTTATCAACAGACAGTATGAAAAATACAATGTTCTAAAAATTGCTAGTTTCTTCCTCGGTGGTGGGATGGGGCCTAGCGCCTAGACGGGGTCGAGAAAATAATAATAAATTTATTTATATTTATCATCATGCATAATTTATATGATATATTATGTAAAATATATATATATATATATATATATATATATATATAAAGAGGAGCAACAAAACATTAAATTATATTATCATGCATTAAATTTTATTATCCCTCCAAAACTTTCAACATTCAATTTTATTAGTTTTCTGGATTAATTTTATTATCCATCCAAAATTTTTAATATTCAATTAATAATATTATTTCACTTTCCCTCTAAAATCGGTTACAAAACATTTAATTTATTTATTTTTTTCTTTTTTTCTTTACTCATCTCAATTGTGTAACTTTTTTATCACCTCTTCCCCATCAATCACATTATGTAACAATCATTATTTGATCTGATCTGGAAGAATTCATACTTATTTCCTTTTCAATTTTCATTTATCTTTGATTACATAAAAATAGTTTTATACAATAATATTTCAGATTCCANATATATATATATATATATCCACCTACAAGAAAAAATAATATATCTAATTGTATAAATCATTAATAATGAATTATATTTCAAACACCAATATATCTCATTATCATGTTGCCATATTCTAATATTATATATGTTTTCTTATTCTCAATCCAAATGTTATGGTGCAATATTATGTTACTAATGTCATTTAACTAAAAAGCATTACCTAATGATCAAGAGATGTCAAATTTTCTATGGCGTTATATTAAACTATTGTATATAAAATATAAATGTTGTATATGAAATATTTTTTAATAATATAGAATTCTTTTCTTAATTAACATTTTTTCTTGAATTAAATTATGATTTAATATTTTTGTTTTACTTATTTTCTTATTTTTTTTCTATGAATTTGTATCTGTGCAAATGCACATGTTGATTACTAGTTAACTACTATGGTCGAATACAAAGATTATGCAAAATCTAGTGCATTCATTATTATTGTATTAATTGTACATTAATTATTAATATTTTTATGATATAATTAATATAAATTTCATGCGTAAAAATTAAAATTATTATAATTTTTTTTAAAATAAAAATTATAGAAGCGCCTAGATGCCGTCAAGACCTCCTAGGCATCCACCTAGCCCGTCTAGGTGCGAGTATCTTCACCAACGCCTAGTCCGCCTAAGTGCCGCTTAATCGTTGGAGCGCTTAGAATGACCGCCTAGACAAATTAAACTCGTGGCGCCTATGTGCCGCGTAGCCTAGACCCATTTTTAATATAGCCAGGAAAAACTTAATACATTTTCATTGTGAGTGTGAAAAAGACTATTTCACTAAAAGTAAAACAACCATTGTTCTCAAGATATGTTATATCNTACTCACCTAGTATTTTGCCTAATAAAAAAAGCACACTTGTAAAACGAATACTTACAGGAATACAAAAAAAAGAAGCCAAGCCAAACTTGTCTCACGTACAATTTCCTTTACACAATAATATAGGCATATTATTAAATAACAAGACACGAATAATCTCAAATATAGGAGCGGCTTCCGAGCGAGGAGTTCATATACCCTTGGCTCCTTGTCCCGCACACGCACTGGCACTCGTACCCACATATATTCCCAAAGCACGAAAACAAGCCGCTTCCCTCACTGCCCCTTCTGCGCCCTCCTCCATAATAGCGCGACGATCTTGATGAGAAGCCATAGCCATTGTTGTTATTGTTGTCGTAAAGTGGCGGCACCTCCATTCGCCACCTGTCCAGCTTTGACCTCAGCCCCTCCACACTCTCGTCCGCACTCCACCCGTCCATAACCGAGCTCCCGTTCTCGTTTTTCAAAGGGTACTTCGCAATCATTGCCGCCACCTCAGAAGGCGACGGGCCCACCTCCGAGATGCTTAGTATAGAGCTCTCTTTGGGGGCTTCTCTCTTGTTTTTGTTTTTGGGTTTTATCGGGATTGCGACGATTGAGTTGTTGGGGGAGTGGTTGTCGAATGTGACTCGCTCGCTTTTTTCACTTCTTGTTCGGAGGAGAATTGGCTTCACGCTGTTGTTGCTGTTGTTGTTGTTGTTTTTCTTGGATTCTTTGGTTTGGTTTTTTGGTGGGTCCTGAATCACGTCACGGAACCCGACGGCTGAGGCACTTAGTTGGCTGTACAAAGGCATGCTTCTCATTGAGCCGTCGAGTAAGGCTACGCCTATGTTTAATATCCCTTGCGGACGCCCAGATGGACGACGTACCTAAAATAGATGCGCGTTCAAGTTTGTCAAATTATTAAATGGAATTCTGATTATCAATGCTACACAAACAGGAACGGTTAAATTTCAGTACACTATATTGGCAATTGTTTGGAAAAGGTCCATCATATATAAAGTGTCATAAAGAATAAATAATGGTCCACTAAGTTGCTATTTTAATCAAAACTAGTACAATTGCCAATATAGTGTACTAAAAATGACAAATGACAACTAAAAATGATTAATTTTAGTACACTATGTTGGTTATTGTACGAATTTTGATTAAAGTGAAAACTTAGTGGATCATTCTTGATGATCTTTTTCGAAAAATGGCCAACATATGTAGTGGATCATTTTTAAAATTTTGCCCAAACGGGAACACCCAATAACCGGCTATTTGCTTCATGCACATATGCTTAAAGCAACTCAAGTCAAATTTGAACAAAATTATTATCACAGAACAATTTATCAGAAACCTTAAGAGCTGGACCCTATCTTAATTCTTGATCAAAATTAAATACTATCAAGCATTAATCATAGCATATACTTGTACAATTCACAACATTTACATGGCATGTTGATGTTTCAAAATCTTCTCAAATACGCACGTGCCCTTTTCCATTTCAAAAAAAAAAAAATGGGAGAAACATAACCTGAAGGGCAACAAACCGCATGCCGATATGGTCGCTGTTTCGACCCCTGGTAAGGACAGGTGGCGGTATGAGATTGGCTACGAGCACACGGACGGTGCCCACAAGGACATCACGCAGCCAATGGGCGGCGTAGATTTCGATCATGACTGCTGACGTGTCATCACGCAGGAACTCGTCATCCACCCTGAAAACAAACTTATCGTTCCACGTCGGGTTGTTATTGCCGTCCGAGTCGATGCACGATGATAGCTTGCGGGCCGGGTTGACCCAGGCCCGAGCGTACGTCTTCATCTTCCTGAATGCGGGCTCCAGATCTTGGCCCGATATTATGTTCATCTCCAGCAGCTGGAAAGGCTTTGACCGGCGTGGCGCCATTTTCTTGTACACGGCCCACCAGATGATAATTCAACATAAGATTCGGAAATTATAAAAGGAAAAAGGGGAGAAAGTGATTATTTTGGTGAGGAGGCGGAAATTGGGCTGCCCCGCCGTCCGGAGAGGGGACAGACGGAGGGAATGGAGATGGAGAATTTGGTGATGGAGAGAATATTGGGGTCCGTTGAAAACATGAAATCAGGGGTTGGAACTTGGAAGAGAATGAAAAAGAGTATTTGTTTTGTTTGGGCGTGTGTGAGGACTAGAGATGTTAAACGGGTTGGCCCTAGCGGTTTCGGGCTAGTCCTAGCGGGCTTCGAGCTAAACGGTCCGGGCTTAAAAAGTCCGGATTTAAACGGGCTACCAATAAAAGGACCTAACCCTAAACCTAGCGGGCTTCGGGCTAATCGGGCTATACGGGCTATAATAATTAATAATAATAATAATAATAATAATAATAATAATAATAATAATAATAATAATAATAATAATAATACAACAACAACAAAAATAACAACATATCCAGTATATTCCCAACAGGTTGGGGTTTGGGGGTTAGTTGTACGCAGACCTTACCCTTGTAATTATACAAGGAGGTTGTTTCCATAGCGACCCAAGGTGCATTGCGCCGTTTGATATATTTTTTTTTTTTTCTTGAAACTTCACTAATAGAAGAAGCACTAGAATTTAATTGAGCCATTTTGATCTAGTCCATTATTAGCACATAGTTTTTTTGAATGGTTATTTAGTATTTACCACTATATATATACAACTACACTTTATATATGAACACATTACAAACTCTTAAATAACATATTGTTTCTTAATAGAAAAAAAAAAATGTTCGAACTATTACTTATAACTACCATTTGTTTAGTTATTTGGTGCGGAAATTTTGACAATATAGCATACTGCTGAATTTATATTCTATCACTATATTCTATGTGTTAGGTATTTGTCTCATTTATTTTTTATTAGCCGTTTTGATTGGCTTAAATATTTTTCTGTGAAATAGAATAAAATTTGTTAATAATTATCTATCAAAATAATGATAATATATTATAACTCATAATTACATGTGAAGTAGAATAGCAAAATTGTAATAAACAAGGAATCATGAAACATATTCCTTACCTTTCTAAAAACATATACACCACCCAACCTAAGTTAAACGGGCTAGCCCTAGCGGTTTTCGGGCTAGCCCTAGCGAGCTTCGGGCTAAACGGTCCGGGCCAAAAAAGCCCGGATTTAAACGGGTTGCTAATAAAAAGCCCTAACCCTATTTTTTCCCGGGCTAAACGGGTCGGCCCGTCGGACCAAGGACCATTTAACATCTCTAGTGAGGACTGATTTTAATTTTGCCTTTATATTAACTGTTAAAAGGATAGATTTTATTTTATTTTATTATTATTTTTTTTTTTTTTTTACCCTGGCGTAGAGAATTTTCGTTGTACTGAAATAGGAAAAAAACTGATGCGGTATTAGAGCATTTCCAGTGTAGAGATATAAATGTTAAATGTCTATGTAACGTGTTTATAAATATAATTGGATAACAAATTCCTCTTAATATCAACGTTGACATTGAGAATAACAACATCCAAATGCTTCGTACAACGCACACTTTTTTTTATTGGATTCTATTAACCTGTTTTTCAAACCTTTTTTTTTTATTGGATTCTATTAACCTGTTTTTTAAATGCACTATACTGAGATTTTGTTAAACTGAATTTTTATACTTTTAATAGATTGGACGAGTTTTTAGTAGTATCTGCATAACGAGTTAACAACCTTATCTCCTAATATATTTGGAGCTTGTTATTCCATATAAATACACCTACAACCTTATCTCCTAATATATTTGGAGCTTGTTATTCCATATAAATACACCTAAGATGAGAATGTTAAATCATAACCTTCATATTACCCTTAGATTTGATTCAGATTTGATTTTAAAATATTGGAAACTCCACTCTTAATTTTAAACATATTTTGAGACTCATATGTATTCACATTCACGTATAGATTTGATTTTAAAATATTGGAGACTCCAATCTTGATTTTAAACATATTTGGAGACTCATATGTGTTCACGATCCTTCAGTCAGGTTTGCTGCATTTTTTTCGGTTATTTTTCTCCACTTTCTCGAACCTTTTTCCCATGATTCTACAAATTTTGGGACGTTTCATACTGTCAAAGAGACTGTTTGGTTTCAAACAGTGGGCTTCAATACTGTCAAGCCACGTCAGATAAAACTAGTCCACAACAGAACCCATTGGAAAGATAAATATGAAGACGTTATATTTAATAATGACATGGCAATAATTTTTTTCACTTGACAGCAAGCATTGGAGTTGCTCTTAGGCTTTGACGAATTTCTATTGGGTGCGTGAATGTAGTCACGTACCTATGAATACGTTTAATAGTTTCTATAAATATTTGAGTTTAGAATTGTATTAGCTAGTTTCACACCATGTATTACAGTGTTAGAATAAAATATACTTCCTCCTATTTTTAATAAATGTCGTTTTGAGAAGTTGCATAATAATTAATAATATTTTTTGTTTGTCAATAATAACTCTCATTAATGAGGATAGAGATTGATGTTTTGAGAAAAGATGGAGAGTGAATATGAAAAGACGTAGTGTATTTATTAGTTAAATTGAGGTAATAATGAAAAAATATGTACAAAATAGCCAAAACGACATTTATTTAACAAATGATCAATTAAGTTAGAATGACAAATAATAAAAATAGGAGGGAGTATATGGCAAAATCTTAATTTCGGTACGTTAATTTGTCTAAAGCTTAATTTTGGTACATTAAATTTCTTCTTATCAAAATGGGTACGTTTTCTTGCAATTTGTTTCAATTTTAGAACACTAATCTGGCGGACCCGAATAAAATGATGACGTAGCAACGATTCAAATGACGTGGACATTCTTTTACCACGTACCTATGAATACTTTTAACAGTGTTTATAAATATTTGATTTTAGAATTGTATTAGCTAGTTGAATACCATGTATTATAGTGTTAGAATAATGTATATATATAGGGTCACGTTCCAGTGAAAATGATGTTTAATGAAAGAAATAAAAATTTAGCCATCGGATCGGATGATCCAACAGCTAAAAAAAAACCCAGATTTTAAACACACTAAGGACAGTGTGATAATTTTCATACCCAACCAACTAATTGGCCCCACCTCACCCTAACCAATTCCCAATCCACCAACTCACCAGTGGACCCACCCACCCATTCTCTTTCACACACAGTACACACACCAACACACACATAAACACACACACCAACACACACATAAACACAGTCATTTTCGAGCCATCACCGGCTGCTGGCCGACAACCTCACCGCCGTCACCTTCCTCATTTATGAATAGAGGCGTGTCCGACACCCGCAACCCTGTCAACCTGCGCCTCCGCCTCCCTGACTCCTCCGGCAATCGCCTCGTTTCTATCTCCATCCCCGATCTCCACCGCCGACCTCGAGAGGCTCCATGTCCTCGGTCACGTCAATGACGATATAGTCTTCAAGGTCCGACAGTACCACACCTCCTCCGACCTAAAAGTCGTCCAAGGCGGCGCCAACCCCGCTGTTCGTCCCAATCACCACATCCATCCTCTGCGGCCCCAACTCCCCTAACGTCTCTGCAAATAGAGGCACGTTCCCCAACAAAAATATCCTTCCCCTCCCATCCATTTCTTTTTAAAAAAACAGATTTGTTCGTTTAAGATTTTGAAAGATATATTTTAAAATTTTATAACTCATAATGTATTTGACTTAGACTTTTTAAAATTCTTAAATTTCGGTTGAGATTTTAAATCCTAAAGTCTCGAACTATTTAATTCATTGAAATTTATTAGGACTTTAAGATTTAATTTGTTGAAATTTTAAATAAGACTGTTTAGTAACTACCTGATAGTGATACGTAAATTTCGAGTTTATGATTGATTGCTAAAAAGCTAGCTAATATAATAAAAGCATTAGGTAAACTTAGATGATAAGTCAGCCAATATAAAAATTTGAATGAACTATTTTGAAAATTACCTGATAAGATCCAATTTTTTTAAAAAGGTTCTTCCTACAAAATCAAGCTTATATGAATATAAGAAGCTACTAGATACAAGCTACCTTATGATGCTAATGGAGTACTCTCATATACATATACAAAATTCACCGCGAAATCTCACCTTTATGCTTAAATTTCTAAAGATTTCACTAAAAATTTCTAAAAAAAAAAAAGCCACTCTAACTTTCATATAAACATGGGGAACACATGGTGTTCAAGATGGTGTTATCAAGTCTGCTGGAAATACTTTTTATTCTGATATCAAAGCATCATTACAACATGCTAACACAAGACTCAAATATCCAAATTTATGTTTCGTAAGTTCGATACAAGTTCAAAGCATTCGTAATTTATCACAACACAGATATCCAAATTGGTGGACTTCATAAAACAAAGGGTGGCTTCAACTCCAGGATGACTCGACAAGTAGTAGCAGTAGCCTCAAGCGATCACAACCTAGTGAACTTACTGCAAAAACTCTCTGGGGTCAGTCACAAAGCCCGTGAGTGCAGATGCTGCAGCTGTGTAAGGAGAAGCTAAATATATCTGCCCTTCTTTGTGCCCCATACGCCCTGGGAAATTTCTATTAGTCGTTGAAACACAGACCTGCAAACATTATCAATCAAAACAAAAGCAGTCGTTAGCCGTTTTAGAATCAAAAGATGTGTACGTTCTATGGGATGATGTCCAATATAACAACATCGAGTGTCACAAATGTTTCAACCCCAGGTCCCCGTTAGAATGTTTTAAAGGAAACAAATAAAAATGTTGAAAAAGAAAATGGAATTGATACCGTGATGACTAAACAAGCAAAAAATAAAGAAAATTATAGCACATGCTTGGATACAAGATTTTTCGAAAAAAATCCAATCATTTTTAACCATTCAATTTTTTGATCTCAAATCTAACTCAACTTTAACCCAACTCCACTATCATCAATATTATCAATATAATTAAATAATATCAATAAATCATTCTTACACATTACATCAACTTTAATTTACTATTCATCCACTCACATAATTTTAACTAACCATCGCTCCACATTATCTCTCTCCTACTTTTACATCAAATCAACTTTAATTATTTTATTTTGAAAAAAATAGGAGAAATCTCAGGATATCTGTAATTATCTCTCTCCTACTTGTGATTAACCCATGAGAGAAAAAATAGCAATACCTCTTGTAATTATGTGCAAACACACTTTCTCTATAAATCTTGAAACATCAGTTTTGTTCTTCTCATCAACTTTTTTGCACAATACGAGTAGTAACATGTATAATATGATATGCAAACTTTCATCTAAGGTCAATTCGAGAAACAGCTTAAAACTTGCCTTAGGTTCATTCATGCGTGCATACGTGTCTTTTGGTCCTCCTAAACAAGCACCACAACTGGGGCTTGTAGGCGTATCACAACCAGCTTCTTCAAATATCTGTGAGCATGTTTTCCCGCCAGATCCTGGGACTGGAAGGCTATATACGTCCATCCACACCTGTAAAAGCACATTAAAGTTACACCACATGCAGAAAATTAATTTATAATTATACCTTAGTATGTGGGGGAAAAAAAAAGGAAGCATCTGATTTTCACTTGTGAAGCAATTCTCCAGCCTTAAATTATTCAAAATTCTGAAATCATGCATGTTTTAGCTAATTTTCTCTGTAAAATTCTTGCATCTGCAATTGTCAAATTTGAAAAACCAATGCATACTTAGTATTATTATGACACATCAAATTCTTATGCTTATAAATATTTCAACATGTACCAACCAGCAACAAGTTTTGGTAAAAAAATATTCTCAAAAGTTCATAAATATTATAATACCAGCATACAATCTGGCATGATCAAAATTTCGATCGTAACGTACTTTCACATCATCAAGAAATCAATACAAAGTCAAAATCTTGACTGCAAAAACGAGAGACTGAAAAATCAGCTAGGAAACAAAACTAGACAAGCACTAACCAATCAAAACTTACCTTCTGTGTTGCAGGAACAAGGAATGTCGGCACTTTGACTTTTTTCCCCTGTGAATAAAAAAAACGATGTTTCAGCTGAAAGAAAAGTTTTGTCAGTTGTCATAAACAAAGCCCAACCATCTAAGAAAAGAAACTGGAGTTTTGGCGAAAAAATTTATACTGTTTCAACAGAAAAGGCAAAGGAAGCATTATATACCGAAGCTAGAAAGACTTTGGCTGCCGCCATGAAGTCTTCGGTTTTTCCACCAGTACAAGAACCAATATATACTCTGTCGATTTTCACATCTTTGCATTCTCTGGCTAAAGCACGATTATCGGGAGAATGAGGCTGAGAAAGCACATAACATGTTATAATGAGCGAATAAATAAACCCAGAAACTCATCATTACTAAAGTGCTGAAGTATAGGTGAAAAATCACTTATTGCTGCGAAAGCATAAGCTGTCTGCCATAGGAGATTCAAAAAAATAGAGAAGAAAAACAAAAAATAAAAATAAACTGTCAAATGCAATTATAATCTAATGGCTCTTAATAGTTTGCTCAGAAAAAAATGAATAAGGTCAAAGGTGCTCAGACTAGTCACCTTTGCCACCAACGGTTCCAATTTTGAGACATCAAATCTGTACTCTTCAAGGAATCTGTGGAAATGAAGAAATTGATTATGCATTGGTTACAATATCTGAAACAAGTGATGAACTTGCAGAGAGACCAGATTACCATCACAACATAAACTTTCACAAACACACACACACACACAGAAAAAAAAAATGAAGCAAACATAAATTAGGATTAATCAGTGTCTTTATAGTGCAATACATGCAGTGAGTGTTTAGAGTAGAATGTAACTTGATGTACACAAATTACAGATATGGAACAAAAGATCATCGCATCACTGGAATTAAAGGCCTATCTATGGCATTATCATATAAGAAATTTGTGTATGGAATTGTCACATTACAGACTTGTTAGGCATAAAAATGGGTTCCGAGTCATTTAAGAAAATGAACGATTTCTCTCCAAGAAACATTGTATTTAATATCAACAAATTTAAGGAAAAACTAGTATGAAGGACATTACAACTTCTATCACAAGAAAATACAACAACAACAACAACAACAACAACATACCCAGTATATTCCCAACAGGTTGGGGTCTGGGGGGTCAGTTGTACGCAGACCTTACCCTTGTAATTATACAAGGAGGCTGTTTCTGTAGCGACCCAAGGTGCATTGCGCCGTTTGATATATTTAATTGAGCCATTTTGATCTAGTCCATTATTAGCACTATGCCAGGAGAATTGTCAACAATGACTCTTCCAGCTCCATTTGCAATGGACAAATATCACAAGAAAATACGTACTTCTAAAATTTGCATAAGCACGTAAAAGCAGCATACCTAGCTTGTCCATCACTATAAACTGGCTCATAGGTCAAAGATGTCTTGTCCTAAGAAGCAACAAAAGGAAGTTGTATCATTATCAAAGAAACTAACCGAAAACACAAACACCTTGTAATATATACATACAAAAGTAACACAGAAAAGTGAGTGAAACTACAAGTAGGCCTACAAAGACACGGAAATATTTAGCTACATCTATATGAGTTTATTACACTTTGTACTCGTACAAATTACATATTATTGTCCATAAGATAAAAACAAAACTCGAACATGATAAATGGACCTGGGTAATACACAATAACAGCCCACTAACTAACCGATGTGGGACAAACATAACTTCAAACAAACGCATGCCAAACTAACCTCAAGATACTTATAGGTGGTGCTATCAGCAGGAACAACACCATTTTTTCCACCAGCTTCAACAACCATGTTGCACAATGTCATCCTCTCCTCCATCTTTGGAAAATAAAAAATACAAAAATATATAAGACTCATACGCAAGTCGAGAAAGTTGGCTAAACATATAAAGTAACAACATAATGGCAAGTTCACGGCTTACTGTTAAGCTTTCAACAGTGGAGCCGACAAACTCCATTGCTTTATATGTTGCACCAGCCACTGATATTTCACCAATAATCTACATAACATGCATGGACTAAATTCAATAAAAATGGAGGTGTCCTAACAACGTAAAAAAATTTCGCATATTTAATATGTGTGTATGTTTGTGAAAATTCAATTGCTTACTTGCAAAATCAAATCTTTTGCGAGCAAATAATCAGGCATTTCCCCATCCATAACAAACCTCAGAGTAGGAGGAACCTGCAACGCGTTCACTTTGAATACTTATAAGATCATGTGTGAAAAAAAATATATATATTAATGCATAACATTATTATACCACGGAATGAAATGCCCATATCAGACGAGTATTGGTAGCTCCAATGAATCAGGACTGCTAGATTTTCAAAATATATGGAAAAACTCTTAAGGCTTTACACTCATGACTCACAAGTCACAGGTGTTGTTTAAAAAAGAAAGAGAGATATATGCTGTCACGAAGTAGATCAGAAGTCTAGAAAACAACTAAAACCATTAGCAAGCACTTAAATCCTTAGAAGTTCCCCTATAGAATTACAACTTAAAGTCAATCTTTGTTTCATAGACAAACATATAGTTCTCTGGTAAGAATTATATGATGTCCAGATGAACAGTATTAGCATAGGAAAACATTTATATGATGTCCAGATGAATAGTCTTAGCATAGGAAAACATGAATGTTTGATATATGAAAAATAATGAAGTTGGCACATCAATAGAAGGCAACGTTCTTAGAAAAATACATATTTTCTGCAAAAAATTATTTCAAAAAACATGATGCTATAAGAATGGAAGCCTTGTAGGGAGAGGGAAAAAAAAAAGAAGAAAAAACATCCCACACGTCCTATCAAGCAAAGAAGAAAACCAAATAAAATGCAACTTGAGAATCAAGAATTGAACAAATTCATTACAATAGAATTACCGCTTCATGATTGTTCCATTAAGAGGTTCATTGTTGAGATCTGATAACAAATTAATTTAAAGTTTTCAGAAATTTGATTTGGTTTTTAGTTTCTTCAAATAATCCACCACCTTAATATATTAGCTTAACATGTGGATAAAACAGTAAATTGTAGATAATGATCAAATCTGAGATATGCCTTGGGTAAAACTCACTCAGAAAACAAGGCAATAAAAGATGAACAGCTAGATATACCTTAAGCAAAAGCTTTCCAGTACCAAGCACAAAGCCTGCATCAGTATTTCCTATTCCAGTTGAAAACTGGCCAAATGCTCCTGCTGTACAAGTATGAGAGTCGGTACCCAGCAAGACCTACAACACGTCATGCAATAGACAATTCCATAACAACTCTGAACGGAAATTAGAATCTAGAATCACTAAGTTTTA